ACGGGATGAGCTTTGAGGTCCTTTCCAACCCATTCTGGGATTCTCTGATTCCAGGGATAAGGGATGTCTGAACTGGCAATTAAGGAAGCTGGGTTTGGAGAAGTCACCATGATAAGAAGAAAAGTGAATGCTAATTAGGCTGATGCAGAATTCCCAGGCTGGCTTTGGTCCCACCCACACTAATTACAGAGACAATGATATTAATGCCACCTAAAAATAGAGGGTGAGGACACCCTGCATTTTACAGCTAAATAAAGAATGGATTTCACACATTCCAGTGTGACAGGTAAAACATTCCCCCAGGGATGGGGGTTCCAGCCTCTGCCAGGGCTGCACAACCTTCACATTTTGGACAATTCACATAAAACCTGTTCTGCTGTTGCCTCAACCTCCAGCCACCAGCGCCAGGAATTCCCTTGTCCTGGTGCTCAGCACCAAGGAGGGAAACTGGGAGAGATCCACTGTAAGCCACAGAAACACTCCAGATATCAGAGACACAACTCAAGAGCTGAAAATATATGAAATGGCCAAGATGATAAAATAAAATAGAGTAAGATAAAATAAACGGCTCAAAGAAATGGCTGAGTCCTCCCAAAATTCTTCTGACCCAAATCCAAAACACTTTGGGATGTTGATTACATTATTTTTGTGTAAAATAGAATTGAAATAGGTATTTTAAATCTGAAAATGTTTCTGTAAAATACTATGTTTTAATATAAAAATTACACAGCTATTTTTCACTCATATTTTTATAATGAGCCAAGGACCAGTGAGGGTCCCCAGGACGAGCCCCCAGCCCTACCTGGGTGACATTCCAGCTCTTCCACCGCTCTCAACCAATTATTGTACAAAAACCACACCTTTCCTCTCTTTTTCCCTCCTTTACCTGATTTCCTCCCATTCCATGGCAGTTGAAAAATCCCACTTTCTCGTTCTCCTTGCGGCCCATGTTGTCCAAACACTGGTTGGTTTCAACGTTCCTGATCTGAGGGAAGGAAAGAGGTCAGATATTCCCTGAAAGAAATGTCTGTGCAGAAAAAAAATCACGTTTCTAGAGCAGAAAGTACATTTTCTGTGCATTCAAATACAGGTATTGATTTATTTTAATGCGTTAACTTACTGAAAATTGTAAATACATCACATTCCCCAGAGAAGGTGACAATAAATACAATAAGAGTATAATGAGATTTTAAACTAGATATTAAGTGTGAAAAGCATTTGAAGGAGATCTCATTCGACCCTCCTTATATTTAGATTGCCCTGTACTCCAGGGGGAGTTTGGAGCATCATTTTTCCCTGGATCTGAGCTGAGGACGAGCCTGGTCACCCCCCTGCTGCCCTGCCAGGTGGGACAGTTCACACCCTGCCCAAATCTCCACTGAAAAGGAGAAAAACGACCGAAAAATGCACTTCTGCTGGCTCAGAATTCACCCCTTCCTGCTGCTTTGGGGCTCAAAATCCCCTTTCCTGCTCCAGCGGCAGCTGCTGGAACAGCCAGGCAGGAGTTTGAATTCCCAGCCCCTGAGCTGCTGTTTCCATGGAAACTGAGGCCACCTTGGCAAAAATCAGGTGTTTTAATAACTGTTTGATGACTTTCTCCCAGCTCTATTTTGCAGCCTGACAATGTGGCACAAACCCACGTTATTTGACACTTGTTAGACGAGTTCTTTCCTCGCTGTAAACCCACAATTCACTTTATTTTGCCATAATTTCACTGGGAACCCAACAGTGCCTTTTATTTCTCACTACAAAGGCAAGTTTCAATGGGAAATTACTTTCCTGGGTGTTTAAAAAAGCCATTTTTTCCCCTTTGATTGTTATTCTACCCTTAAATCAACCCATTCAAGAGCTTTTAAAAGTCAGCGTAGGTACAACTCAATAGAGCATTTTTAACAGTGAATTAGTTGAATTTTAAAGAGATTTCAGCTCCTGGTGGTATAAACCCATGGCATTATCAGGAATGTCTGTGATCCTCAGCTCCAGGCAGCCTGGCTGGGAAACACTCAATGAACAAACTACTTTCTTTTGTTAAAAAGCCCCCCAAAAAGCTTTTTTTTTTAGCCTGTTTCTGAACAATAAGGGATGATGGAAAGGGATGATGCATATTCATTATGTCAAAATATTTGTCCCAAATCTCACTTTTCCCGTCCACTGCTCCATTTCAAAGATAAATTTGGATGGTGAGTTGCTGTTGTAGTTACTGGTTTTCCTGCACTTCCTCATTTGCTGCTTTTACTGGTTTATTGCACTTACTGGTTTTCTGTGCCACTGGTTTCCTTTCCTTACAGGTTCCCTGCATTCCCTGTTTCCTGCACTCCTGGCTCCCTACATCCCTGGTTCCCTGCATTCCCTGTTTCCTGTACTCCTGGTTCCCTGCATTCCCTGTTCCCTGCATTCCCTCTTTCCTGTACTCCTGGTTCCCTGCATTCCCTGTTCCCAGCATCCCTGGTTCCCTGCATTCCCTGTTCCCCCCACTCCTGGTTCCCTGCATTCCCTGTTCCCAGCATTCCCAGTTTCCCGTGTCCCCGTGCCCATGCCATACCTCTCCCAGTGAGTAGTAGCGCCGTGGGATCTGGGAGTCGGGGTAGATGTTCTCCAGGTACCACGAGAAGGGTTTGCACTTGAGGCTCTCCCTCAGGGCCTTCCTGACGGACACATCTCCATAATCCACCTTCACCACACCTGGAACGGCGAGAGAAGGGCTGAGCAAAATCCCATTAAACCATCAGAGAATCCCACAGTCATGGAATGGTTTGGATTGCAAGGGACCTTAAAGCTCCCCTCGTTCCATCCCCTTTCCACTGGCAGGGACACCTTCCCCCAGCCCAGGTTGCTCCAAGCCCAGTCCAACCCGGTCTTGGACACTTCCAAGTGAACCAAAAGCAAGTCCAAAATTCCCTGTAGCCCAATTAAATCTCAATTTGGAGAGAGCTGTGGTCCAATCAGGGTTGGCAAAGCAGCAGCAGCAGCTCCCAGCCCTCACGTGGAACAGGTTGGACAACACTCCCAGATTTATCTCTGAAATCCACCCTGCGTTTCCATCATCTTCTACTTCCCATTGTTTATGGGATCTTGCTTTGAAACTCTCACAGGAGTGAAGCTCCAGGGATAGCAGAATATTCTGACAGGAAATCACACCTTGAAGAAGAGGATGATGGCAATTTTTAGAGAAATTCAGTACAAACCACAGTAAGAACATCCATTACTACCCACAACACTCATTTTGGATCCCTACTCATGCCCACATTTCCAAACATGGTTACATCTCTGACAAAGCAGGTTAATGTGTTCTCTGTGTCATTGTAGGAGGTGATGGAGTTCTAGATAATTAACTGAAATACAGCTGCCAATTCTTGCTCCAGGCTAAATCCAAGTGCTCCTGGAAGCACTTTATCCTGCTGACAATGGCCAGGAGCAACTGATGCTCCACCAGCTCTGGATCAGCGAAAGCCCCTCAAGGAGCCCAATGTTCTTGTGTGGTGCCGGGGAGTTTAAGTGGCACTTGCTCAGGCCCTGGGGAAATATGGCATAAAAAACTTCAGGAAGTGGAAATATTCAGCCCTGAAATTCCTGGATAGAAAAAGCAACAAACCTTTTCCCACTCAATCCAACTCAACCTCACCCTTACATTTCTGTAATTAAACAAACTCCTGGTTTTCCATTTTAACAGATGTTGAGGTGGGGAGGTTTTGGCGAGTTTGGCACTGGGCATCAGCCCCCTTTCTCTTCCAAGAGTCTTCCCTTTCTTGCCTAAATGCACATGGATAACATTCCCTGATCCCAAAACTCCTTTATTTTATATATAGATATATCTATATCTATATATTCTCCTCATCTTGCCTCCCAGCAAGGAGCTCATTTCTATGGATCCCAGCAACCCTCTCCATTTCCTCCTGCTCCATTTAAAGCCAGGCCATTATAAATCAATCCCTATTTATTGTCCCCACTTGCTGAATAATCGATGGGACTCAGAGGAAACATAAAAATAAGGAATGGCTCGAGTCTGCTCCCACTTAAATAAGGAAACATGAGGAAAACGTCCTTGGGTGCAACAAAGGAACGAAACACCAGGGGAAGCTGCAGAAAGGATGGATTTAAAGCATCTCAGGGAAGCAGCAGATTGTTTCCAGGGAGCAGCAGATGTGTTTGCAGCACAAATTAAATGGTTGCTGGCTTGTATTACACCTGATTTTTTTTTTTCCCCTCCCCTAACAGGCATATCCTGAAAAAATGGGCAGACCGGGGCACAGTTCCAAATTTGGCAAAAATGTGCCATTTCTGAGTGAGGAGATGTTAATTCACTATGGTAAAGGTGGATTAAAAAAAAAATCATCTGGAGTGAAACAGAAGAATTGAGAATAGTTTTATACATGAAGCCGAATTTTTGCCCCAAAAAAGCACAAAGAGACTGCTTTAGAGATAAAATTTGTTTCTTTAAAGCAGGAGGTATTTTAATGCAACGCGTTGGAGAGTTCCCAGGTCATCCTGGACAAAGAACTCTGTCGTGTACAATTAACATGGCTTCATACATTTCCAAGTTAACACTTGGAAAACTTAATCCATATGAGAGGTTTGCTCTGGTTTGGTGACTTAATAGAGGTGCCAATAAATCCCTGATATTTATTGGGGAAGGAGAGAGAATCGCTGAAAATAAAGGAATATTTTGGGCCCATTTTGCACCTCCAGGATGGGGATCTCCATTCCCCTCTGGGCACAGACAGGGAAAATCCCTTTTTGCAGTCAGACAATTGCCAGGGTTTGTCCTGATTTAGGAGGGAAATCCCTCCCCTTTCCACCTCCCAGGAGCATTTTAACCTCATCCCAAACGCTCCACGGCTCCAATCACCGACTCCAGCTGGGACAGGGCCACACACCAGCTCCTGTTTCACTGAGCAAATTCCTCCTTTTCCTTTCTTCCCTAAGAAAGGGGCTTTCCTTTAATCCCATCTGAGCGTATCCAGCATTTCTGAGGGTATTTTTTAAACCCTCATGAATTATTTGGCTTGTGGCTGGAGCTGCAGCTCCAAGGAAAAGCCCAAACTCCCTGTCAATGCAGTGTTCCACTAAACCAAGCAGACAAGTGTTCCTCACTGCAGGGATATTTGGGGATTTTTTTTCCCCTTTTTTTTTTTCTCTTTTTTTCAATCTATTTTTTTATTAAAAATTCTAGTTCCTGGTTCATCTCAGCACGTGGCAACAAACAGGCAGCACGGCCACGGCCACATTCCAGGGGCCCAGAAATAAAGAGGTTTTCCCTACCCTTAGGAAGGCACCAGTTTAAAACAATGTGCAAGACCCCCCCCAAAAAAAAAATTCAGAAGGGCTCTTCTTCAGCAGAGCTCTGTTTTTACGAGCAAGTCTATTGATCAAATTTTAATTTGGAGTCTAATTATTAGGTGTGCACCCTAATTATGCTGAGAGAGATATTTAATACTCTTCACTGGTGAAGAACCATTGGCTCTCCTCTCTCTCCTGGGATATCAGCTAAGGAATCCAATTAATCAGGTCCCAGGGGAGGAGTGGGAAGATGAGTCTGTGCTGATGGATAACAGCTTCAGAGACCTAATTACTAACATGCAACTTGCTTTGTTCTCAAGCAGAATTAGGCACAGATCTCTCTTTTTCTGATTAATAAACGAAGGAGAAAGGATAAAAAAAGCAGATTAAAAATATTGGGAACAATTTCTGATCTTTAGGAATGACCTATTAAAAAAAAATCTACTATTTTCTATGCATTTTTATGGAGAGTTTTCAGTTAGAATAGTAATTTTGTTTGCTAAATCTTTTCTCCTCCGTTTGCTTGTTAATCCTGGGGAACATCATGATCTCATTTTATCTCTCAATTAATACAGCACATTAATAAATCACTTCAAAAGAGAGCAGAAAATACCAAGACCACCTATATTTATTGGCCTAATTTCACCCTTTTCTTTCAATGAAATTGTCTCCAGGGGTTCTGTGTTGGAATTTTGTAACAAAACCTTGGGCAAACATAGGAATGTGTGACTGTAAAGATAGGAGGGCATGTTTAGAAACACCACATTTGGGCTCATTTCAGAAGGGAATGGTGGTTTTTCTTCACAGAAAAAAAACAGGTCCCTGTCCCAAGTCCCTCTCCAGCTCTATATTTAATGTATTTCAAAGGTATAGATCCATAAATACCTTTTTTACACCATTAACAGGGCACTTAGGATGTGCATGGTTATTTTTGTGGTGCATTAATTTTTCTGCCTTCCTAAAGGTTTTCCAGGCTGGATCCAGAACCATGGGGAAGGGAATTCCTGCAGGGAATTCCTGGCCCTGAGGGTTGTGCTCCCAAGGGCTCCTGCTCTCCATGCCTGAGCCAGAGCACCTCTGCTGCCCTTCCCACTGACATCCTCTCTAGGGACCTTCAGGGATTTTGGGGATAAACTGGTCAAATTCTGCATTTCTCAGACTAGGTGGGTCAGAGACCTTCCCTGCTTGGCTGCAAATGAGCATTATGGGAATAATGTTCAAAAAAAAAACCCTTCTGAACTGCAGGAGAGGAGGGGCCTTGCCTGGCATGTTCTTCCTTGGGAACAGGACCCGGAGGGGCTGGAGCGAGTCCAGGGAAGGGACCGGAGCTGGGAAGGGGCTGGAGCAGCAGGAGGGGCTGAGGGAGCTGGGGGGGCTCAGCCTGGAGAAAAGGAGGCTCAGGGGGGACCTTCTGGCTCTGCAACTCCCTGATGGATCCAGGTGGGAATTGGGCTCTGCTCCCAGGGAACAGGGACAGGAGGAGAGGGAACGGCCTCAGGCTGTGCCAGGGGAGGGGCAGGTGGGACATCAGCAGGAATTTCTCCTGGAAAGGGTGGTCAGGCACTGGCAGGGGCTGCCCAGGGCAGTGGTGAGTTCCCATCCCTGGAGGGATTTCCAAGCCCTGAGGATGTGGCACTGGGGGACAGAGGTCAGTGGTGGCCTGGGCGGTGCTGGGGAGTGGTTGGCCTCGATGATCTAAGAGGGCTTTCCCCACCCAAACCATTCCACGGCTCCATGACACCTCCACACCTCACACTTCCACTTCTCAGCCTCCCAGACCGCAAGGCCGAGGGATCGCCGCCCTACCCGGGGAGATGATGTAGAAGAAGTCCTTGAACTCGTCCATCCACACCTCCGCCAGCCTCCTGTTGTTCTTGTTGATGACGTGGCCCGTGCCCCCCGGGAAGGTGTAGGGGGTGGCCTTGCGGAACACGTGTCCCACGTGGGAGCAGGTGACGATCTCCAGGGAGCCCCCGCACTGCCAGATCTGGGAGGGAACGGGAGAACCGGGGTCAGACAGACACACCCTGCACGGGGGCACTCACTGATTTCCACGGGCCATAACACACGTTTAGAGAAACAGGGAAGAACCTTTACAGATACAAAAATTTTTAAATATATTTTATATATTATATATATAATATTTTATATATTATATATATAATAAATAATAAAATTTTATATATAATATTTTTATATAAAATATATATTATAATTTTTATTTTTATATATAATATAAAAATTTATATATAGGATATATATTATATTTTATATACATATTTTATATAATATAAAAAATTTTATATAATATATTATATTTTATATATATTTTATATATAATATATATTATAAATTTTTATATATAATATATATTATATATATTCTTATATAATATATTATATGTATTTTTATCTATAAAATATTATATATTATGTTATACGTATTATAAATATATTACACATATTACATATGAGAATATAATATGCAACAATAATATATATTTATGTTATATACTATATATTATATAGAAACTACATGATGTTTATACTGTATATAATATTTATATAATATATATTATACATATCCATTATAAATATATATATTAAAAAATATATATAAAATATATATATAATTTCATTCTTTATTACGAGGCCCCTCTGGTGATAAAGCATCAAGTTAAGGAGCCACTGGGTGGTTTGAACAGGAACACTGGTGAAGTCTTGTAATTAGAGCTCCTTGACACAGACCTGAGTTGCCATGGCAACCTAATGCAGATTTGATTTAATTAGGGCTCCCTCCTTTCCCCTAATTTCATCAGCATGAGGAGCGATGTGGCTCTGTGGGATCAGCCAGGACAGCATCCCAGTCTCCCTGTGCTTAACCCCCTGTGTGTGGCTGCTCAGGTGGCACCTCGGGCTGATGGATCCCAGGAAACACAAACAGCACCAAAGGGAGCAGGGAATAAACCCAAAATACACAAACTGGTGCGCTCACAAAGCAACTGGGAGGAACTGGGCAGCTCAGCAAGGAGGACACACAACCCCCCCACCAGTCCTGCTGCTCTCCCTGGCAGGAAATTCCTCCCACACCACCCTTTTTTAAAAAACACCTGTTCCTGGACACTTGGAAAGCACATTTTTGGCCCTCCTTGGTGCCATCTGCTCCCTGTGACAGCTGGAACAGGAGTGTGGATGAATCTGCATCCTCTTCTTACGAAAAGGACCTTTTTCAATGTTATTTAAGAAACCCAAACAAAGCAACTTTCCTGGATACTCCCATGTAAAGCAGCTGCTTTCCACAGGTTCCCATCCTGACAGAGGACTGTGGGATTTCGGGGATCTGTTCTGCACACAGCCTCTGGAATGCATGATGTGCAAATAATAAACAGGAGAAAAACATCCTCAAAAACCTAATACCAAAAATCTCTGTAATGAAATCAGCTAAACTGGTGCATCTTGAATATTTTCCCTACGGAATCCTAAGAGTCCTGACAGAGAGAAAATGAATGCAGCCCAAAGAAAGGGAAAAATGCAAGCACACAAACACATTTGAAGCACAGTTTGTGAGCAAACTGTGCTCCTCCAATGAGTTAATGCACTCACACAGCTGAGGAATATTGACAAGCACAGAGAGAGCTTTTCCATCTGCTTGCCAGGTGATTAGGGATTTATATTCCCCAAATTCCACTCCCCAACACGCAGAATTAATTCCAAGGTCACACTGGACTTCCAAAATAACCTCCCAGGCACGAACCGGCCCCGGGACCCAACTAAGCCCACACAGCCCTGGGATCCCAAAACCCAGAGGAGGGGTTGGGATAAAACTGGTTATTTCCATGTGTTCCAGTGCTCTGCTACACCTGGAATTCTGCAGCTGAAGGTGAGACCTCACACACGGGCAGGGTGAGGTGGCTGTTCATGATCTGCTGTACCTGGGAAAGCATCCACAGAATTCCAGAATGGTTTGGGTGGGAAGAAACTTTAAATCCCATCCAGTGCCACCCCCTGCCATGGGCAGGGACACCTTCCACCAGCCCAGGCTGCTCCAACCTGGCCTTGGACACTTCCAGGCATCCAGGGGCAGCCACAGCTTCTCTGCCCAACCTGTGCCAGGGCCTGCCCACCCTCCCAGCCAGCAATTCCTTCCCAATATCCCATCTAAACCAGTTTGAACACATTCCCTGTGTCCTGTCCCTCCATGCCTTGTCCCCAGTCCCTCTCCAGCTCTCCTGGAGCCCCTTTAGGCCCTGCCAGGGGCTCTCAGGTGTCCCTGGATCCTTCTCTTCTCCAGGTGATCCCCCCCAGCTGTCCCAGCCTGGCTCCAGAGCAGAGGGGATCCAGCCCATCAGCATTTCCATCACAAAACATTTGAATTGAACACTACACCAAGACACAAGTGAATTAACCCTCCCTGCCCTTTACTCATTTCCTGGATGAACTCCCACAGCACTCAAACAGAAACTTCGGAGCCCAAGAAGAACTTGTCCCATCCCTGAGGAAATCCACATTTCCACGTCCTCTTCTGCACTTCCAACAGCTGCCAGAAATCCCAAATAAACATCATCTTACCCCTGTCAGAGCACACACTTTCTTCCCCCAGCCCTGCTCTGGCCTACTTGGATTATTCTAAAGAATAATCTTTTTATTTTTCCCTGGTGCAGAGATTATTTTTAATACCCTTCCCCAAGCCACATGAGCTCCTTTCTGAGCAGCAAGTTCTCAGGGCATTCTCCAACTGGGAAAAAACATTTAGAGAACACAGCAGAAAATTAAAAATGTTTAAGGAATTCTATAAATAAAAATAAGGCTTAAGAATAAATGACGTTTTCATTATTAAATCAGACTCTCGGAGCTGGAAGAGGTTCCTGCCAGGACTGTTATTATTTTTTTCCAATTGCCTTTATTAAAAGACATCCCATAAAGGGCTCATTACAGAGCAATCAGCAGCACAGCAAAAAGACAAAATATTGATTTGCCCAGAAATAATCAAATTATCCCCCTTGGATGCCGCTCCAGAGCCATCCTTGAAATTCCTGGGGGCCCAAAAAGGGCTGCAAATCCTTTGAATGCCGATGTTTGGGATAATGGCATTTGTTTGGGGTGCTGTCACTGCTGCTGGCAGATGAGATGGTCCAGGGGGTGGAACCCTGGACGTGATCCAGGGAGGGAAAGGCTTTTGAGGATTCAGGAATTCACAAAACGGGGGGGTTTTGGGTATCTGGACCAACATCAAAACTCCCCCCTCCCACCTGATGATAAAACCCCCAAAATAAAAACAGCTCCAGGAACATCCTGAGGGCTCAACCCCACTACAGACATTTTCCAAACCACAACAGAGTCTCCTGTTTTCCATGAGATATTCCAGAGATGTCCTGCTGGATAATGGCAGGTTTGGAGCTGGAGGAACCTCCCCAAACCCTCGGCTCTCTCTGCTCCCAGTTTCCTGCAGATGTGTCACATCAGAGGGTCTTAAATACCTTTTCTGTCATTGACCCAGTGGGACTCGATGCACCTGAAATATTTGAGTGGCCTTTACAGAACAATTAATTTCAATCAGTAATTCCAATAAACAGCACCAGTTTATTAATAAATAAACAATAAACAATAAACCTTGGCCCTCTCATGGCAATATCCCAGGGCTGGAAATTCATCACTTTATTCATTTTATTTCTGCTCTTAACACCAAGCCCTCTCTCAGGCCATGCAAATATTCCAGGCTGGCAATGGTTCTTGAAATTAAAGTGGAAAAGTCTTCTGGAAACATAAAATCACGTTCTCTGATATGAAATTCATGCCTCAAAATTCGTGTGTCTCCTCTCCTTGCCACCCTCCCCTCAGCCTTAAAAAGTATTTTATATTCTGACTGTATTTTTATATTCTGATTATATTCTTATTACGGTCTTATATTCTTCTATTCTGATTATCAGAGCAAGGGCAGAGCTGCTGCCCTGCCTTTATCCCCTGGGATTTCTGTGGAGAGCACGGATATTGTTGGTCTTTGTCCCTGGGACTAAGATTTATAATTTAAAGCTGAAATGGAGATCTTTATGCTGGTATTCTCACTGAACTTATAGAAGTTAAGCCCATCTCTGGCTCACTGAGAGAAACATTGCATAGAATTCAAGTGCAATTTGAAACAGGGCTCTGGCAATGGTTATTTAGGGAAGGGAAAGTTTTACTTTATATATATTTATATATACATATATATATGTAAAGAAACCAAAAGCAAGGTGACCAACAGGCCCAGGAAGGTGATTCTGCCCCTCTGCCCTGCTCAGGTGAGACCCCACTGCACCTGCAGGGCCTGAAGGGGCTCCAGGAGAGCTGGAGAGGGATTTGGGACAAGGGATGGAGGGACAGGACACAGGGAATATCCCATTTAGGGCATTTCTTTACCATTTGCTGGGAGCTGGATAAATGATCCCGTGCTGCTCTGTATCATACCATGTATTTACAGAATCCAAAAATGGTTTGGAGCTGAAGGGACCTCAAAACCCACCTTGTTCCAACCCCCTGCCATGTCCATATTCTCCAATGCAGACCCTTAACAAAACCTCCCCTGTTTATCCCTTCGTGTTGGAGTTGGGGTTTCAGGGATTATCTTTTTTCTGCGGACAACCAAGGAGTGTTTTGGGGGTCTGCACACCAAAAAATGTTGGAATTCCTCATTTGAAACACTCAGGCTCAGCAGAAGTAACTCAACCCTTTGATTTTAGTGCAAAGCGAACAAATAAAGTTGATAGAAAATGGCCCGAAAATGCTTTTAAATTCTCAGTTGGTCCTCTCCAGAAATACCTCCTTCATCAAAACCTTCCAAGGGGTTTCTGTCACGGAAAATGGTCCTGGTTGAACAGCAAAGGCAGAAGAAGGGGACAAAGGGCCTCTCCAGGACGTGCTGTGGGTGCCAGACAGCAATCCCGGGGGTTATTGCCCAGAATTACTGCAAATTGTGCCCCATCAGAGCAGTTCAAAGCCATTTCCAACTCCCCTTCCAAGCACCACTTATCAAAGCCCCCATTTTCCAGCTCTCCTGTCTGTCTACAGGGCAGTTACTGAATGCATTTCCCTCAGAGATGTTATCCATGCCGTGGGAACACACCTATCCCAGCAGGAATACGGGGGTTTTCTGCAGGATGGGGAATTTCCCTCACACAGCCCCAAAAATCCCAGCCAGAACTTGCAAGTTCGTGACGTCACAACCTCCAAAACTCCTGTTAAAACACATATTTATATTGTTTTATAAATAAATTTACATCAGTATCTGTCATCAGTATCAGCTCGCAGGAAGCCTTGTTTCTTGTAAGAAGGAATTGCTGAAATACACATAATTTTGAAAGCATAAAACCCCCCCAAAGAGCATTAAAATATTTCATGCAGTAAAAAGGGTGGAAATATTGCAGGGAGGTGTTTCCCAAATCCTTGGAAATTCAAATTAAGCCACCTAAGAGCGCCCTGAGCGTGGGGTAGGAACTGGTACAGCACAACTGTGGGGTTTTTGGACAGAAAATGAAGGAAAACAGCAATTACCCTAAAAGACATTTCAAGATTCTCGCCACCCCAGATATCCATTCCTGCATCGTAAGTTCCTATCTCTTCAAAGTAGTTTCTGTCAATAGAAAATAGGCCACCAGCCATAGTAGGGGTCCTAGTTGAAAACAAACAGAAAAAAAAAAAAGAAACAAAAACAAGAAAACAAACAAAAAATAAAAAAGAAGAAAAGGGAAAAAGAAAAGAAAAAAGAAAAAATACCTTTTGAAAGACACTGTGGAATTGAGCAGCGACACTACAGCACATTTCACTACCTCCCACAGTGGGGCTACACAGCATTGCTACGCACACAGCTTGGACAGAAGCCACCAGGAACGAAGGGACAATCTGACTGTGCTCTCTGTGCTCTCCCCCAAAATCCACGGCAGTCCTGGCCCAGCCACAACTCCAGGTCGTTCCCTACCCGTCCAGTGGCATCTCCAGAGGTTATCTGGGAGCACTGTGGTGGTGAGGTGGATGGAATCCTGGCCCCCTGCGTGCAGAGCAGCAGCTCCAATCCCATCTGGAGTGCTCAGTGAGGAGTTTAATGCCTCGGCTTTGCCTCAGAGGAGACTAAATGTGCATAAAATTACCAGGCCTAATCTCTCCTAACAGGATTATAAATCCTTACAACAGCAAATCCGTGGGAGTGCAGCTCCCTTGGTGTGAGGGTGTCCTACTTCCCTGTCCGTGGCTGCTCCGAGTTTTCCCAAGGAATGCCCACCCCGGCTGGCAGGAGCACAGCTCTGAGTGAGGGAACAACCCCCACCCCCCCAAAAAAAATCCCAAATTCCAGCTACAAAATCCCAGCTACAAAGCATCCCCACACTCAGACTCGGGGGTACAGGTAAAGAGGGTGGAGGTTCAGCCCCAGTGTGTCCCAGCCCTGTTTGCTGAGCTCTCAGCATTCCTGAATCCATGGGAGTTGGTGGGGAGGACCTCCAGGTACATGGAGGTGTCGTGGAATCATGGAAGGGTTTGGGTTGGAAGGGACCTTAAAGCTCATCCAGTGCCCTGGGCAGGGACCTTCCACCAGCCCAGGGTGCTCCAGCCTGGCCTTGGACACTTCCAGGGATCCAGGGGCAGCCACAGCTTCTCTGCCCAACCTGTGCCAGGGCCTGCCCACCCTCCCAGGGAAGGATCAAGGATCCCTGATCAAG